CCTCAGGATTAAGTTTATCTTTGGGGTTTATCTGTTTCAGATCAGATACTTACCTGTGGCTTACCTGTATATGAGAGCACTGGTATAAGGTTTTATGTCATTTACCCAGAGGGTAGTGTTTATGTTACTGGTTTAGATAACTTATAAATATATCTATACAATGTACATATGTTTATATCCATGTTCCTTTCCCTTGTGATGAGTCAATGTAAATAAACATGTATATAGTTAAGTCCCCTGACTGTCCTGGCCTTGTTCTATAGGGATGGAGGGCAAGTGAGCAGTCTGCAGTTCCCTCCCCACAGCACACCTGCCAGCTAACAATCCCCTTCAACTGGAGAAGGGGAGTATATACCCAAGTTACCTGGGCTACAGGCCTTAAGAAAAGAGGGAATTAAGCACAGATCTGGGAAAGGAAGAAGGCTGCTATCACCTCAAGAAGTCAGCCTGAGACAGACTCATCAGAGACAACAGTCAGCCCAGTCAGCTAACATTTGGCACAGTTATAAGCCACTCAGAGTCATAATGAAAAATGATGGCAACCTTACCAGTGTGCAGTACTACCAGCTCCACATGTAATGAATGAGACAGAGCGGGTGAGAAAGAAGACAGGAATGACTTATAAAACTGGAAAACAGCTTATCTGCAAATCTAGGAATGGAAGGATTCAGGTCTCCTGACATCCAGTCCCGTATCCTGTTCACTAGAACAAGGAGTATGTGTTGTACCTTGTACAGCACAGAGCCTTACAAATGTAAGGGATCCCCCTACCAAGGACCCATTTCAGAGGTGCCAAAGATTGACTGAGAACAAACTCTAATATTCCATGATTTTTCGAAAAATATACTTGTGGTACACTTTAATAGTAGCATCACTTTACACTAGAGTACATTTTCTAGGTCACCTTTGCAAGAAAAAAAGTCAGGACATTTATTTATTTTTTAATTCTGTTCTCAGAATTGGGAGGTCCAAAGTAAAAGGGGGAGTTAAAAGGCAAGCTATAGAGAAAGAGGAATGTAAGAGATGGTTTAGAAAAATCCATTGCAGGGCTCAAACTTATTTCCACGAACAAAAGTATTTTTTGTGCAGGACAGCTTACAGGTTTGGAGGAACTCCAGTTTACCTGTGTCCTACTGCACTCATAGAGCTTAGATCAATAGCTAGCATTAACACTTTAATTGAGAATCAACATTACAATAATTGGAAGTGAGTATCAGCATTCTGAATTGCCAAGAAAGCAAGCTGTGTGATCAGAGTGATAACTGACTGTTGGGAATTGCTAAGGGAAATCACAAATGAAGAGACTACATTCACTTACAAAGGACACACAGAAGGAAATTTTCCTTTTCTCACCCCCAGGACAACTCCACCAAGACCATCTGCTAGAGAGAACAGGATCTTGGACATAATTGGACCCATGTACACTTTCTAATTCTATATGTATCTTGAAAAGTTTGCCCACATCTGGGAGTTCAATTCTGGAACTCAGAAAAAATTTTTGTACCAAAAATTGTTTAAATTGAAAAAAGAAAACCTTTAATTAAAAAGGGGAATTGTGCAATCATTTCCACAGTTGTTATGTTGATCAGATATAATCCAAATGCAAACATTGCCTGAAGAAACACAATTAGACAGTTATTTAGGTTCTGAAACATCCTTTTCCCTGATGAGCCGAAGTAGAAAATCAACACTTCATTAACCTGCCACCCCAACAGCAGTGTATGCTCTAAACATAGCCGTGAATTTAATTTTTTTTTAATCTGCATGTCTGAATAGTGCTTGGGTCATTGTTTCCTCCAGCTGATGAAGGTTCATATCTCCAGCGTTCTGCTCAGAACAAAATTAAATCCTGCAAGTGCCACTCAAATATTCTACAAAAGAGGATTACTCTTACCAGTGTTGTAGCAACAAAGTTTGGCACCTGGGGCAAAGCCCACAGTGGCAGCCTGCCCTCACCCTGTATGCAGATCCTGGGGGGCACATGCCCGCCCCCCATGCTTGCCGGGGGAATGCACACAACAGCGGGAACCACCCTTCCCCCATCCCCACACACCTCCAAATGAGTGGCTCGCAGCTCTGTCCCATGCTGCAGCTGGGCTAGACGGTGCCTATTGTCTCCCCTTTGCTTTAGTGCCTGGGGTGGTCGTCCCCCTCGCCCTCGCCCTCCCCCTCCAGCCTTGCTACGGCACTGACTCTTATCACATAAGGCACGTGGGCCAACATTTCCTGGCTGTTTACAGGGAGGCACCACAAGGCCATCTTTCAGAGATTGTATGAACCCACAAACTCCTAAGTGAAGTCTTATCTGAAACTGCAAGTGATCAGCACTTCTGAAAATCAGGCTTCTATGGCTGCTTGCATATGTTAAAAAAACCCCAGACAAACTGTACTTTACTGGAAGAAGCAGTGCATTACCTGGCTCTGCAGCGTCTGTACAGATCGGGCGCTTCAGCAGGGCTTTTAGCTAAAGCTGATTCAATCAGCTATTAGATAAAAGTGACAAAAAATTCACACTAGCCCTTACAGATGTCAGGTGAGCTGGGCTGAAGTAATACACTATGTCTTCTGGGCATACACAGAGCTCACTGAGGGAATGCACCAAGTTTTAAGTAAAGCACCATTTGTTTGCTTTTTTAAAGCCTGCAGGCACTGATACATCTGTATTGTATTTACAAAAGGCATCTACATTAGTGATTTGTTTTTTGAAGAGTGTGTTAAAACCCTTCAGGGAAATCAAAAGTTGCAGGTAATCAGAATCCCTGGAAAAGTGGCCACTGACGGAGAGGCCTGAATCCAGGCACCAAATCTGACAATTTTGGCTGGATGCACAAAGCCTTCATTAAGCCTCAGTAGCGTCTTGTTCCAGAGAAACCCCATGGATCTCCTTCCAGGGTTGCTGAAGTGCCCTATGCAGGCCTGCCAAGCTGTGTGGCAGTTTATAGAAGTATGTTTTAAAAATACCTGATGAGATTTTCCATGTCTCCTTGGCACCCTGCCAAATCTGTCACTCCTGGAGAGTCTGAAATCTGTCAAACCTCCCTTTGAAGGAGTGGGAGCTGCCAGCTCAGCTGCTGGAACTCACAGGAAGCAAAGTCACTGCTGTTTCATTTTAAATTTATCCCTGACTGTCCACAGTGCTCAGGGAAGTTCCTAATTCCTTTGGGGAGCTCCGTCCTCAGGTATGGGCTCCCCTTGTGGTGTCTCTGCCTCGCCTCCTCCTGGCTGGTTGCCTTTGGCTGCTGCCTCCAGGGAGTGTTCAGAGTTAGACTGCGTGGTGGTACCCTCAGGGTCACTCTCTGCTGCAGCTGCTGGCCCTCTGCCATCTTGGTTGGAGGAGGAAGGTGTTTTATTGAAGCACAGTTTAAAGACCCCCAGTGTGGTCATGACCAGGATCACCAGCACCACCACAGCAAAGATGATCGGGATGAACATGTAGTTGAAGGAGGATGAGAACTTCTCTACTGCTGCACTCGTGTAGGCAGGAGAGTTTGTAGAGGGCACATCCAAGCTGCCCTGAGCAAGGGTTGGCAGTGATGACAAAGTCAAGTCAGGCACTGCTGTGGTCAAGCCCCTGGGGTCCTGTGTGCAGGACTTTGCATCCTTCCCAAGCTGGAAGCCCTGTGCACACATGCAAAGGAAGGTGCCTTGGGCACTAAGGCAGTCATGGGGGTCCACACAGTTCCTGGTGCTGCTGTTTAGGTACCCAGAGGGACAGAAGCAAATGGGCTTTTCAGCAGCTGTCCATGTATAGCCGTCCCGCCCCAGCTGGCAGACCAGCTGCACAACCCCCTGGGGGCTGGGGCAGGTGATGTTGAGAACAGTGCCTGGGGGGCTGGACCCCTTGCTGGCTCTGGGAAGATCATCAGGGAACTGGTAGATGAAGCTAAGGGCTTCCTGTGGGTGCAGAATAGGGCAGGTGCCATTGTACTTGTACTTACAGATAAAGCCCTGGGTCGTCTTATTGCAGCGCTGCTCCTTCCAGCCCCAGGGCTCCAGGCTGGGTTGTCCTGCAGTGACCTGCAGCGCTGCACACCGGGAGGTGGTGCAGGAGCTAGTCGGCTCTTTCACCCACTTGTCCAGCTCTGAAGGCTCTTCCTTGAGGTCCTGCTGGGGTCTGGTCTGCCAGGAGAAGCCCCGCAGTGGTCGCTCTGGATGGGTGCACTCTTGCTGTTTCCTAGTTAGCCCAACCCAAAAGAGCAAGGCACCAGAGCCTGCTGTGACTGTGTTCAGAAGAGCCAGGATGTCCCACAACTCTGCTGTATTTCTGACCTGGGTCAGGGCACCCCGGTGCTGAGCACATTCATCCCAGGCTTGGTGGAAAGCCATTCTGGCCCCATGAATACTGTAGCAGGTGCCGGTCTTGCTGCACCAAGTGTGGCTGCTGAGGGACTGCCCAGCCCCATTGCACAGCATGTAGATGGCTTGCAGTAAGAGGCACAAGGGAATCACTCCACTCATCTCCTCTTCCAGCTGTCCAGTAAAGGAGGCTTTTTGTTAACAAATGCTAGCACTCACAGAGCTTGCAGGAGTAAACAAGCACAGCCCCAGCTGAGTCCTTTTCACAACAATCTAAGGCCACAGCCCTCCTATAGACTTGCCAGAGGAAATGTGTCAGGAATGGGGTTTGACCTTAACCTCCTTGATTTGCTGAAATGCAGATGACAAATAGCTCCCACTGCAGTAAGGAAATGGTAGCGTTTAAAACAAGCTGATGTGTTTGAAAGACTGAAGGAAAAGAAAATCCTACACCCCTATGAGTAAACCAGATAGCAGCATGAGGCAGGCAGACAGAGCCACATTTTCAGTTGGACAATCACTCAGCTCTCAGACTTCAGCTAGAGCTGTCAGGACTGATCACATCTGCAGGTAAGACCTATATCATCCATGTTACTCTCACAGAGTATTGCCAGTGTATCTCAGGCTTCATTAATAAGACAAAAGTTGCTCTAGTTTAGTTAAATTTATTTTGGTTGAACTAAATTTGCTTTCATTCCACCTAGTTAAACTGGTGCAACCCCATTACTTTAATCAGGTAAGACTATGTAATGCTGGAGAAAAATTATTTATAGCATGAGTTAAATTGGTTAAAGGATTAAAATTGATTTAAGGTATTAGCGGTCTACACTGACTTTCACCAGCTGAATTTTAAATCTTTTTAGTTAAACCAGTGCAATTTTTCAGCTATGGGTAAGGCTTCAGTTTATCATATCTTTCTTATTTTTCTGTTTACCATTTTGAGTAATATCCAGACTCTATTCCATTATTTTCTTTTCACATTCTTATACATCTCTCATCACTGTGGGATCCTCCACTGATTCATTACTCACATTTACCAGCATCTTAGACATCTATTCTTCTCCATTCTTTCATTGGAATTAAAAACTACCATACACAGTTTTGGTTTCTTGTGTATGATGCATTTTGAACTTCTAATGCCAAACAAAGGAATTGGACTATCTGAGGTACCTGATAATTCCCAGGTATTGTGTAGGGAGCCTAGCCATTTCACTCCATTTTGGATCCCATACTGGGGGCCAGGCACATAAAATGTAGGTGTTGCAGCTCCTAATTTGTAGGTGGTTAAGACTTTTATTTGACCTGGTCCTATAGGTGTGGCATCATTCAACATCACAGCACCTTCCTCTAGTCTAAGGTCCCCTGCTCACATCACAGACCTGAACTAGGATTCCAAAAATGGGATCCACAAAAGCCAGCCTGCTGAACACAGAGTGGTCTGAAACACTCAACAGGAAATGGTTCTCCTCCTTTCCTCTTCCTCTCCCTCACCCCCCAGGAAATTAGATACCCAATTCCAGGTTACAGAAAAGTGTTTCCATATACCTGGAATTCTTAGACATGACTCCTCTATTGGAGTTACGTTCTTAAGCTAGACCTTTCTCATAAAACACCTTGATGAGGAGTTGTGGTGCTGCTGGCCACCTGAGAAGTGAAAGGTCAGAATTAAAATTCTTCCTTTTTCTCAAAGGACTTGAATCCATATCTCCCACTCCATAGGAGAATGAAGTAACCATGGGTGCCTGTACCCCTGCAAGCAGGTGGCTCTGACATTGATACATGAGATGCTGTGGGCATTTTAGAGTGCCCCCCCCAACCCCTGGAGCATGTGTAAAAACACCCCATTAGGCTATGGAGTGTTTTGGGGTGTGAGTCTCAAAATCTGCTGAAGCTGTATCTTTTTGCATGGAAAAAATTAATATTCACTAAGCTGAAGACAGAACAAGAATGACTCCATACCCCAGTGGTTAAGGTATTCACCTCAGAAATCCAATCCCTGCTCCAATCAGTCTTTATGTATTTAGACAAAGCAGAATAGCTTCAACAAAGGAGACTGAGAGACAGGTACTGCAGAATAGTCTATAGCTTTGTGGTTAGGAAATTCTCTTTAAGGGGGTGGGGGGGCTCTAGAATTTAGCTTCATTATGCTGATTACTGACTATAGAATCATAGAATATTAAATGATGAATTAATAAATCTATTTTCTTAGCATGGATTCAATAATGCATTTTTACAGGTGACGGAATTATTTTCCTGTGATTAGGCCAGACATATCAGCTATATGTCTGTATGTTTCACAACTGACAAGGGCTTGAGGGCATATATTTTTGCTACAAATAACTTGAAGAGAAATCACTAATTTGACTTATTTTCTGTTTTGAAGCTGCACATATGACTGGAGGAGGCAGGAATCAGCCTGCACAAGACAGACAAATAATTATCCAGCACTCCACTGAATGGTAGAAATGTGTGCTAGCTAAAATACCCAATGAGACTTCACATCCCAAATAGGAAATGAAGAAATGCCTTCAGGACACAACCAGTTACACATTCTGCTACACTCTCAGAGCAGCTATTGCTTTTCTTTGGACTTTCTATAAAGCAGGGGAATCAAACTCACCTTCTATCCCAGGCAGGATGGAGACCATAGAACTTCTTTCAGTCTGGGCCAAGCAAAGGCATCAGGTGGTGGTGGTGGTGAGAGTGAATGTGGCAACGGCAGAACCTAACTTTGTGGTGGCTAGTGCTGTGGCAGTAACAGTGGGGCCAGGCTGAGAAGAGCTGTATCACCGCAGCCCTTGCTTAGTACCCCTCCATCAATGGGGCATGTCAACCAGGGCCTTGGGTTCCTCAGTAGGCCCTGCACACAACTGGCCACGCTCCCAAATTCACTGCTCCACCAGTAGCCCCATGGGTCAGATGAAGTGGCTCTGCTGAAGGCCATATTTTGAAACCTGTGCTATAAAAGAATGCTTTTAAAATAGTGTCTGCTTGTATGTGTTCTGCACAGGCAGAAAGACTCAGAGACCTGCCAATATATCTACCCCTCACTTCCCCAACAATGATGCCAAGGTAAATCAAGGCAGAATAATTTCCCACTGCTGTGTTAGAGGTAATGACTAAGTACTAATTTACCCCTAAATTTACTAACATTAGCAAGTATTCCAAATAAGCAAGAGCTATCACAAATTGACACCATTCTTAAAAAGTAATAGCTGCAAAAGAATGAACGTTTGTGATAGGGTATCACAGCTCCAATCATTGCTACACAGGATTAACATCCTTGATAAAATACAGCCCATCTACAGTTCACATATGAAATAATGCATCAGCATGGAAAAAAGCATTCACTAATTATATAGTCTATAAATGGCTGCTAGGCAGGTGTGTCTTCAAAAGGGGGAAATCCAGACCCAACTGATATCAGTGAGCATTGGGTTATTGATTTCACTGAATCCAGGATTTCACCCTTAATCTCACTGCATTCTTACAATGAAAATAATCTTTCAGCATGAAATATAAATGCTAAGTGGAATCTCTTCTTTTATTACTTTACAGGAAACAGGACAAGAAATGAAAATGAGGATTTCTGTACTATTGTAACAACTTGCATGATTACAAGAATTTAATTATTCACCTTTCAAAAGGGCTACAGTAATTCCCAGCCTGACTTACACCGTTATGAAGAGATAACCCAGTAGGGGTCATACAAGTTCCTGTCTACTAATAACTATTTCCATTGCCACTCTCAGTTATTGAACTTTTTGCTGCAACAAGGTATAATGCTTCATAGTAATTGTTGCATAGATTTTTATCACTGCTATAAGTTGAATTCATATTTGAGAAAGGTGAGGTGAATGAACTGCAGTGACTGAAAAAACATCATGGGATTTATCTTTACCCAAAAAGTAAATCTGGACATTCTGGAACTCAAACCCCACTCTGTTTCAACTCTGCCTTTCTTACTCTATGTGCCACACTCCCTCTAGCTGCTATGTACAAAAATTATTTAAACCCTATTATATAACAAAAAATACCATTTACCTTTAAATAAAATGTTAGTTACACAGACTCCAATCATTCAGTTCTCGCCAGAAAGTAGGGCCCCAGTCACTATGCATTAGGTACATTAAAAAACCATTGACAATAATGTTCTATTTCCTCAGGGATTTTTCTACAGTAACTCATTTTCATTGAGTAGAGGTCTAAAAAGCCAATATTCATGAAAGTTTTGTTTATTACATCACTGTTTTATTCATTCCACCAGTAGCTGTGAATTCTTGAAACCTGATATGTTTCAACCTATGGTCTATTTTATACAGTCTGTCACACACACACTTTCATTCTTGAGTATACAACTATTTTGTATTATCTTCCTATCCTTATAGGCAGCTTGAAACAATAATACAGAAGTGTAAACAATGCTACTTTCATTTATGTGGTTTGACTGTTAATTCTAATGCCAGATGATGGGAACAGCTACCTGATAACTCATCATTTTAGTGATGGAAAGCAGGTAGAAGGGCAAGAATGAAGCACAAAGTTGGGTAAGAATTAGTAGCTGCTGCATAGAAGAAAATGCAGAGGGGGAAAAGGAGAAGATGCACAAAGAAAGGATGGAGAAGGAGTAGAAACAAAAGACAGAAGTAGGGATCATCAATTGTATAATTAGTGATGGGCAAGAGAGATCATGAGCCCAGGTGCTGACTAGGCAGGGGCACTGGAACAGAGGCACAGGGGCTTAAGACTTTGGTAGTTTCTGCAGCAGTGCAGAGAAGGAGAGCAGGAGGAAGTGACCAAAACCCAGTAGCCAGGGAATGGAGATAAGGGAGTTTGAGCCTCTGGAGCTAGGGGAGAGGGAGGAAGATGGAGCCTGGGAATTAATTTGGCATTTTATATAGTTGTTCAACATGGCTTTCAGTACCACCCTCAAGCCTGTTTTCCTGCAGCCCCAGCTGCTAGGTCATGACCACTTGCTTCTCTGCTTGCTCCCCAGCTGCTAAGTCATAGCCACTTACTCCTATGCCAGTGCAAGCCATACCTCCTGGAGCCCCACACCTGCACCCACTGGCTGCTGGGTCCTGGCCACTTCCTACCACTCCATCATTACAAAGCCCATAGTCGCTTGAGCCTAGAACCCCTCCCCCCACCTCTATTCTAGTGTCCTCCTCTCATGCTAGGTATTCCTCTACTGCCCAGGTGCCAAAAATAAGAGTGATGCCTCTGGCAGTCTGTGGCAGGGCAGAAAACAGGCAGCAGCCAAGTGCCTGATGAGGGCAGCCACTTTGAGACCCAGAGATAGAAGCTGGTCTGCAGTTTGCTGTAGGAGGAAGGAGATAACGTTAGGCTGAGAGGCTGCTCTGGGAATATCAGGAGGTAAGGGCAGGGGCTATGGGGTGGAGGTGATTCCTTGTTCTGGGTAAGATGTAAAACTGCACCCTGCTGGGGAAGGGTGGTCTGGTGGGGCTCCTAGGGGTGTGGGAGTCCCCAGGAAATGCCAAGCCAGTTATCATGCCAGGCTAGTGAACGGTGGGTGGGCCAGGGTGCCTTATAACCCCAGCCCCACATCCTTGGTGGTCTTCTGACAAGCAGGGGGAGCCCAAGCTCATTAAGGAGCCCTGAGGCAGAGCTCAGGCTGGAGGAGGGAACTGGGGCCATGCCCAGGCAGCCGAGGGAATCCTGGGGGCGACAAGTAGAGAGACCCAGAGAGGGAGAGGGGGGCAATGACTACAGCAGGTGAGTGAATAGAGGCCCTGTGAGTGTGGGCAAGTGAGGAGGCCCATTGGGGACATAGTGGCCCAGTGCGGGGCGAGGAGCGAAGTAGGCCAGCAGTTGTAGAATCGCTCAGTCAGCACTCAGGTGAGGGTAGTGGGAGACACCCAACAGGCTGTGCTGGGGCTGACTGAGGGTGGAGATCTAAGCCCAAAGCTGGGAAGGCCGGACAGTACGAGTGTGGCCCTGAGAGGGAGGGCAGTATGAAAGAGCCTGGGTGAGAGCCAGCGGAGTGAATGGGACCCCGGTGAGGGAGGGGTGGTGTGTGAGTGGCCCTCTGGGGCTGTAGAGGAGACCTACAACTGTGTACCCAGTCTGCCAGAGAGGTAACACACACAGAGTAACATCTGCAAGGCACAGGACCCGTGGAGGGGAGGTTGGAGAGGGCATTAAGACCCTTGCTAGTAAGGTGAGTAATGTGTAGCCTCCTGCCTTAGTAACAACTCTCATATTTTTCCATCAAGGCGTGGCAGAAGAGTGAATTGGGCAGTTACCCCAGGAGCAGGGCAGCCGGAAGAGACCTGACAAGGATGCCACCCTGTTACACAGTTGTTCTAAACTTAACGATGCTGAAAAGTATTGAAAATAATACAAAGTAATAACATTTTGGTGTTTAGCTACTACTTAAACTATACTCAGCTCTTGATCAGTGTGCAGATTTTTCAGTTATATCAGTAGAATTTCCATTGGAGAATGGTAGGAATTTGCCATCCCAAATATACAGCCTGGTCAATACCCCATGATTATAAGGGTTCAACCTTTCTTCAGTACTCTATATTATTTCCTTTACCTGTCCACATGAATATTATTGGGAATTCTCATTAGTCTTGTATTAAAAACCTTGAAATTTTTTATGCATGACTCTGTATGTCCACATATGAGGAGACAGTGGCAAAACTACTTGAAGAAAAATGAGATTGACACTTGTTTACATCTTTTTAAAAGTGTTTGAACCCTTTTATTTGTTTTTGAGCTAAACAAACTTTGTGTGGGGACTTACTGATTTTCTTATTGCAAAGAAAATTCACACTTACTAGCTACCCTTAAAAGTACAACAGAACAACAATCTTCAGGGAACAAAGTCTTCAAGTAATTTGGGATGAGGCAGAGTTTCCTAGGGAAGCTAAACAGAATAGCAGGAAATCTAGTGGTAAATAAGTGATTTCACTTCCTGGCATTTTGCCCAAACAGACTGTTCAACTGAGTATTTTAGAACATTCAGCTGAGAATAAGAAATCCAGACAAGGAAGAGAAAATCCAACAAAGCAGCTGGGAGATGGGGAAGCAGCAGGTGCTGATATATAGAAGTAGTTAATTCAGAATGTAAAAGAAAATAGAAGGAAGGGCGCGTTCTGAGCTTAGTGAAATAATTGTTGTCTAGGAGGATATGGGAGGAGTACAGCCCCTTTGCAGAAACAGCAACTTCCATTCTTTGTGTGGAGTGAGCCAATTCAAAATGGAGATTTGGTCATTTTACAAAATGCTTTTTGTTTCAACTTTATAAACAACCCTTTTTGAAGCACTTTTGTCTCCAACACTTGACTCCTTTCAGCTGTTCCTAATCTTTTGTTTGAGAGATGTGGAGGCAGAAATTTTAAAATTATTCATCCACTTTAAAATGTGGAAAAGATTTGTACTGTACCGTACACAGGTGTTTTTCTGTCTTATTGAATGATGACGTGTTCATATGTTCTTTATTTGAGGGTGTCCATACTCTCTTGTCATAAAAAAACAAAACAACCTGCTTTCTGTGCTTGAATTTTAAATGCGTGTGCATGAATCTTCTAACCAAAACTATACTCATGCAGTAGTACCTGGGATCTAATGGTATACATGCTACAAGAATGTAAGAAAGTCTTGATTACTTTCCGGAAGAAACTCATATTAAAAGTAGGAATAGGCATAAGCAATAGAAAGTGAGCATCTGGAGGTGGACACACCACAATTTAGGGTATTCAACTCTGGAATTTTAAGTTAAGTTCTTTTGCAGCTAAAATATAAGGTCATTTTTTAAATTAAAAAGAGTCCGTACTTGTTGGAGATGTCTTGGCAATCTATGCACACAAAGAACCTGGACTTCTTCAAGCCTGAAATTAAAATTCCAGCAGTACTGATTCAGTTTTTCCTTGTTAAAAAGCAAATAAATTGAGTTCCATCAATTCCAACATGTGGAAGCGGGGCTTTTGGATGGAAAAAAAGCCTTAACACTGATTTGTCTCAGTGCAAAGCAGGTATTTTTCAGTGGAACATTAACCATTTATCTTAGAACATATAATTGCATATTTAGTGCATTAACATGTGTATAGTCACATGATAATTTTTTGTATAAATTTGTCTAAGCTTTATGCACAAATTCGGATTGTCATTTTTCTTGTTTTTGTTATATATATTTGTATTACAGTAGTACTCAAAGGTCCAATCAGAATCAGGTCTCCTTTATGTGTATACTGCTAATTTACACTACCTGGCACATAGATTCTGTCTTGTATGTGAAGAAATAACAGTACACAGAAAATGCCCATTCATTTTGAGCATACAAAACAGTAACAGGGCACACTTCTTGGTGTCTGTTACAATTAGGAGAGTTTCTTATGACACCCACCAAAGAGAAAAGAAAGCGTACCTGTATGGGAAAAACAAAGGAACGAGTCTATACACATTGTTATGGCCCCTGGTGTCCCTGATTGCCTCTTCCAAGGCCAGTGATGGGGAACACATGGGAGTGGTACCAGTTTCTCACTTGTTCTGGGATGAATCTCAGAAGTTAAAATCCAAGTTGGCCCACAGGGTCAGATGTCCTGGAGAGGGGATGCACAGGAGAGCTGCAGTTTGTGCAGGCTGTGTGGAGGCACAGCAGATCAACCGGATTAATTAGTGTAAAGAGTAGGAGACAGCCCGGTAACTAAGGTGAAGAGAGAAAAACTTACCTAAAACAACTAGACGGTGGGTGAATCCCGTGTTGGGTGAGCAAACAGCGGTCCTTGGTGAGTCCTCCTCATGTTATCTTCTGTGGGAAAGAGGAGCATGGCTAGGCTCCTGGGAACCTTCAAGGAGGGAGAGCCTGTTAATTAGTATGGGGAATTAGGAGGTGAACCAAACGTGTCCTGTGGGGTGAAGGTGTGGGGCCGTAACGTGGGCAAGGCCATGGGCTTCTAAACTAGAGAGCTAGATGAGATGGTGAGTCTGGGACTAAAAGAATGAGATTCAATGAAGCCCCCAAGCATGAAGCAGGGAATGTGTGGGTGGCTGATGAAGCACTGCCAGACTGGTGGTGTGATAGGCACAGAAATCATAGTATTCTATGAAGGGATGTCGAGATTGTAAGAAGGAATTAAGGATAATTAGTGTAACTTGGCTGGATCCTGTGAGTCATGTATGGACTTGTTTAAAAATAAAATAATAAAGGTTGCTTAATACCTGGGACAATAGAGACTGAGTGGCCATTGTTGTCCTGGAAAAATATGAATGTCCATGAAACTGATATTCACATTTTATAAGAAAGGGGCTACAACAATAGAAATAGGAACTACCTAGAGTTCTATATTTCAGAAATTCTCATTTTGTTTTTAGCAGCTATTTCTTTATCTTCTCTAGCACAGAAAAGCAGAGGTCAAATAATTTAGTCCTCCGTGTTCACCAGCTGCAGTGCTAAGAGAAAGGAGTAGGCTAAAATTTGCAGGAGTTTATTTTTGGTAACAATAAGCTCTGCAGGCAGGCCAAATTCACTGGATAACTCATTCAAACTCAGTAGAGATTTACTAGGTTACACAAGCAGTGGAAATGGCTCCGGCAGTGCATGCTGTTGAACAACATACATTTAACTATTAGCATATTTATACTGTCCACATGTACAACATATTAATGTTGTATGTCTGGGTCAGTGCAATTGGCTGCAGTCGGCGTGTTTGGCCATGGGGCCCCCAGACAATGCGAATGGCCATGGGAGAACCAACCCCCACCCCCGTCGCTGACTGGCTGATGGGGAGACAAGTGCCTCCCTGACTCAGGAGGCACCAGTTGTCGATGACCGTGGGGGGCACTTTAAATTCATTGAATGAGCTTTAGTTAAAGCATCCCTGCCACCATTTCAAAGTGCAGGGCACTGAATATACAAGACACTGCAGGCACTTTAATTAGAGCAGCTTTTGCAGCCACTCTAATTTAAGTGCCCCCCTCCCCACCACAACACTTGGAGCACATGTAAAGATGCTCTAGATTTCTAACACCTGGAGTGGAATCAAAAACTCTACATAGGTTTCCTGTACACCTTGTGAAGACTTAAGTGTGTCGGAATGAGATCCAAAGGAGTCAGCAGATTGCATCTCATATATTATCAGCACATGCAGCATAAAGTTGCCAAAAGCTGAAATGTTGAGAATAGGGGTGAGTCTAAATCCTGCTCCTCAGGCAACTTACCAAGGACTACAGAGAACCATGGCCAAGCCTGCACATTTCTTACACTGACCTTTCATTTTAAAACACAGTTGGAGGAAGTACAATGCTGCCTCCATCCCTCTGTACAATAGCCTACATCATGCACAAAGTGGGAGACCTAACTTAAATCCCCTATCTTATCTGAGGGGCTTCAAACTTACATCCTCCATGTTCCAAGGGTGCCAGAACCACCCAGCTATATATTGCTCAGAGAAGTTGATGAATACTCTCCAAGCTACTTGAAGATGTTCCACTATGCATTCACTAGGCCACAGAAATACAGCAAATGCAGGCATTACCCTGTAGCCCAAGACACCTTATAGGTCAGAGGTTAGGGAGTGCTCAAGTAAACCAGGCCCTAAATTGGGTTTTACCTAACCTGCTCTTATTTTCATAAAGGAAAAGCTGTAATTAAATTATGCATAGGTGCATTGCTTTTGTTGAGTTGTTCTATGCTAAATTCTTATCATGTCAGGAAGGAGATGGCAGGATTTGCAGTTTCAAAGCCCTTGAGACTCATCATTTTTTTAAGCATTACCTTTAATCACACCTGCATTATGTGGCAGTATATGAAAGAGAAATTTTCATTCTTTGCTGTATAAATATTAGAAAAATTGGAAAATTACTTAGTACCATAATCCCAAAGGCTTTCTATTTCAATATAATAAGATTCTTAGGATAGGGAGATATTTAAATTCACTTATAATCTCAACATTATGTTTTAATAAAGATAAGTTAGATTGTAGCTTCAAGCCACTGATCACAGTTGGTGGTACTGCTGAGGGGCCAGGGGCAGCTTAGGGAGGTGTTCTGGCTGACCAGAACTGAGAGTGGGGCATGGTATAACAGGTAAAAACGTGATATATATGTTTTCATCCCAGGCAAGCTTTGCTACTACTTCAGATGGAAAAGGAAGGTGCCTTTTTGATGACTGAAATAGTAGTTTAATTGTTTGTTAATGCCTGGTTACACAATTTGCATGATGTTGTTTTATGTTCTTTGACCGAGAAGAGTAACTCAGGATCATGACAAGTTGTTCGAAGATACTCCAAGATTTTGAATTTCTCAAGAGAGAAGTAGCAGGTTAGCAGGGTTCAGAAATTTTAAAATAGTTTAAACTTCTTTCTGGACCATAAAAACCTTGCTCAAGATACCATGCCTAGAAAAAACAGGCCACTGTAAGATTTAATGGTTTAGAGCCACATTTAATTTTGTCTTAACATACTTTCATATAACAAATGCATATGTATACTTTTAGTTCCGGGACATGGTCAGATGGTCACTATAGATGAAGGAGAACTCTGGAGCTTCTGCCATGAACAACAATAGCACTAATACTTGCTATGGGGAATGGAAAATCTCTGTCCGTTTCCCCCTTGCTAGCCTGCATTTGCATGGCTTAAAAGGGAAACATACTCACATGCAACCATTGTATGCACACTTCTATCTGCCAAGGGTACGGTCAGATCTTTGTCTGGTTCACATATTTTCACCTGTGCTCAGACTTTAATCAGAAGTTCAGGAAGAGAACCAAGGGAACCCTTCCCCTTTGTGTTAGGCTTGATTCATCCTACATAACATATTCTTAAGTAGTCAGGCATGTGAGTATAAAATTAACTTTCTGTGAGCATTTGAATAAAATTTAATTGTTTTTTTGCTTTTAGATCATGAACATAAGAAATGGGAAAGTACACATCCAGAGCAGTATTGCCATGTTTTTCTGCATGCATCTTTCCCCCAAAAATCAGCCCTATCCCTACCTCTACCCCAAATTAGGGTACATGTATTAAGTGGAAAAGCTGATTTTCTGATTGAGATAGAAGCACCTTGCTTTTAGTTCTGCTCCATTCTGCAATCTCAGTTCATTGCTATTCAGGCAGCTAAGGGAGTCATTTGACTTAATGGCTCATAGTTCTTCACCCCAGAACTGTTAACGATCATCTCCTCTTTAATCGTCCTGATGTTTTACTAATCAAACTAACCTTTCTTAGGTCAATTCTACTGTCTGCTGGCTGCTCCTGGTTTTTCTCCTCTTATTTCAGTTCTAGTTAAGCAGGAAATGCATGATAAGTCAGCTAAAAATTAGTCTTTGTCCCTGCTCTATGAAGCCATAACTCTGGGAAAATCTTTTTTTCTTCATTCTGCCTTTCAAACACAAAGTGTATATTATATTCTGAGGCATATTTTATGTGAAAAAATATGAATGCTTGTAGAAAATATTTTTCAGTATTCATCCAGTTCTGCTTTCCTTCCATAGCCACATTTTCAGATTTCCAGTTTGAGTTCAGTTTGTGTTCTGCACAGTTGTGT